GCAAACTCCAAGATCTCAGGCTCTCGGATCTCACGAGAGTTCCTCATGGTGTAGCCCTTTAGGTCAAGTTCGTGCCATCGCCCTTGAAGAATGGGTTCAAATGGCAAGGTCTCTCCGCCGAAGAAGTCCGGTACGTACACAGTCGCGTTCGCTTCCCGGGCGAAATGGTCGGCGAGTAATCTGGCATTCGGAAAACTCCATCCGAGAAGGTCATGGATATAGAGGACAGCAATATCAGGGTTGTTGCCGGTGACGTAGACCTGCAAATTGTTGATCTTGTCGATGCGGCCGACGGGGGTGCCATCCCACTCGAAGGCTTTCACACAGCAAGACGGGACAGCCATGTTTTGGCAAAGGTTTTCAGAGGCGGGAGGTATGAAAGATTGATCTAGCAGTCCACTTTCACGATCTGTGGATGGCTTTAATGACCTTGGATGTAAGTGGAGGTAGAGCGTCGAAACGAATCAAGCGGTGCATTCGGCTTCGGGGCAATCAAGAGAAGTACAGCTTTCGTGCATGGTATGACATGATTTTCCACTGCAAAACGTCAGGGAATCTCGGTTACAGGTTCGTCTGATAGGCAGAGGAAGATGAGTCATATCGCGCCCGCAGTGACCGAGCACTAATGCGGTTAGAAATGCACACTCCTCTGCTCAGCAATTGCATCGCTAACCTCCTTGCCTCCGTCAACTGACTGGCAGGGGTTCTCCAATACCAAACAAGTAAGCAGATCTTGGCGCGGAGACGAGCACCCCTTAACCCCGACGGCTCATTCGTGTGGTTGGCAGCAATAGACCGGCTCGGCACCGATGTAGCGAGCGTAGCCATTGTTTCCAACAAACAAAGGAAATGCGTCGTGTATGAAGGACTTTGTTCTGGGTTGAAAGCAGCAATGGAAGGATCATTACAATCCAGGCAGGTACGCTTGAAGAAGTGCATGTCAAAGAAAACAATAAGATTGTAACGAACAACAATATCATCATCATTGTGAAGAGAGCCCCCTTGACTGTGCCGCAACATGCTTATTCGAATAATATGATGGCACGCGTCTCTCAAAATTATATTCACATTGCCTTGGCTGGTCAAACCATTGCTGTCAAAATATGAATACACCTTGTATCACGATGTCGACGTTGGCAACATCAGAGGCGTCAAAACCTCGAAGAGTTTTGCCAACGCTGTCCAGAGGTGGTTGGGTCGCCTACGCGAACCTATCTTTTACATCTGACGCTTGCAAGTTGGGGATCACTCCGCGAACCTCTCCAGATCTTTTACCTGTGCTCTGGCCAGGGACAAGAACCTTGCGGAGGAGACGCTAATCCTCTGAGCAGGATGGCGATACTTGATGACAATCCGACCATATTTTGCTACTCACCTTACACAAAGGCCGTCTTCCATCATAGACACGTGTAAGTTGATCTGGGTCAGACTGCGAAAGGCTAGTGGTGCCGTGCAAAAAGATCTTATCCCTGCAAAGAAGCCGAAATAATAACAGAGACGTTGAACCCGTCAATTCAATGTCTGTTGATTGTGTTCAAACTCTATCGCTAATGGTGATGAAGACAATATGTTGTATTCCTCCCAACGGCTATTGCCGTCGCGATTAATTCCATGTCGTCCTTTAAAGTACCAGGCGCCTCATCTGTTGGGAACCTGTTCAGTGGCTTCGGTCGGTCCATGTTTTATCGAACACGTTAAGTGATCTCTGGGCTTGGATCTTGTCAGTATCGAGATCCTCGAGCGGGGTATTAACAAGCCCTACCAGTTGGCACAACATCCAAAGCCTTGATAGAGATGTTGGGCGGTTGGTCTAGCATATACAGAGCCGCCTGAGCGATGTCGTCGGATATGAGCGGACTAGAATCAACTTATAAGCCACCTCGCATGTCATTGATCCGAGAAAATAGCTTACTCATATCCCTCGATGAAAGAGTCGTACTTCTCCTTGTCGTGACCAACTCGTTGGGAATGGAAGTTGGTGGTGACAACACCTGGCCGAAGTGCCAGAACCTTGATGTCGGTCTTTACCAGCTCGTTGCGAATCGAGTTCGTGAATGCCTCCTGGAAAGCCTTACTCGCATGATAAACCGCCTCACCCGGGAAAGGCGGAACTTCCAAGCCAGTAACGGACGTAATATTCAAGATAACTCCTTTGCCGGGCTTCTCCTTCATCATCGATCTGTTAAGGACCGAATGCGTGACGTACATCATGCCGTTGACGTTGGTGCTGGCCATGGTCATGACATCCTGAATCTTCAGCTCGGGGAACGTCGCAGGGGCCCCCAACGCAAGACCAGCCTGTTTGCATTCTTTGTAAATCTCTTTGACGAATCCTCGGACACATATTACTTACGTTGTTGACTAGGATGTCAATTTGCCCCATGGCCTCAACTGCTGATGCGATGGCCTTATCTACAGAGTCGAAGTTGCCAACATCAGCGGCACGGTAAATAATCTTGAGGTTTCCGTGCGTGAGTGAAAGCTTGTTCGCAAGCTTGGCCAAGGTTCGCTATGAGTTGCCTCCGTCAGCCTGCGAATTGACAATTGCCAGCTTCACCTTGAACATTGGCTCACCTCAGACCTAGACAGAAGAACTAGGTTGGCGCCCTTGGCCGCCAAAGCCGTAGCAATAGCTTCGCCGATGCCCATGGAGGCCCCGGTCTATATTGCCCTGTTAGATAGTGATTATGATGTCCCAGAATTGGTCTGAGACTCACTACCAGAACATTCTTTCCTTCGATACCCATTGTGCTTTTTGTTAGGGGGCTGGGGTGTTGACGTGCAGAGAGGAGTGCAATGTTCAGTGGTATTGCGTGGTTTCTAAAAGCGCGAGGGTGACTCTACTACGATGCGGTATTCTCAGCGTTTGTTCGAACTTATTTTGACATCGGTAGTCTAGTTCCCCGCGCAATGGTGCAGAGGCTCCGATAGGTTGACGATGACAAATGTCTTTCAACTACGTCACCGCGAGATATTCTAGTGACCGACATCATAACGTCAGCCCCCACTTCCGAATTTGCTTTTCAGCCACCGAATAGGCCCGGACCGGCCGTTCATCGGGGATTCTTGGGGCATTTTCCGATTTCCCGGGGCCCACTCGCTTCCCAACCCAGGCCGAGCCGATCGCTGGCGGGCGTTCGGTCGGAGACAGGACCCATAATTCCTCCTTCTCTCTCAATGAGGCATGCGCTCATTGATAGCGAATTGTTTGCTTCGCCCTCATAATGCGAAGTCTACTCTTACATCGAGATGTCTCAACTCGGCACTCATAATCGGTCATATCTAGTGGAGGATCAAGTTGCGAACGGATAAGCCGGCTGGGCATGATCAGTAACTGAGATTGTAATTACAAAGAGCTGACTGTCATCTACCCACTCTAATGGCTCCGCAACATCATATCGACGTAAGAGCAACGTGCCGCCGTGGCAGCTATAAAGTCAGTTTAAACCCTTACCGATCGAGATCGTTCATGAAGAATGCACCTGCGTCTGAACAAGAAACGGTTTAAAATGTCGATGCCTTACGCGGAAGCCCGAACACGGCCGCCCTCATTTAATACTAACATGCAGGGCCTGTACGAAAACGCCGATGCTCACTCGGCTCAAGAGTCCTGTCAAATCATAACTCGATCCGGGCTATCCAAAGCCAAGCTATCGTTGGGCGATCTCATTATGAAATCCTTTTTAGGCGGCATTTTCATTTCCCTTGGATCTCTTTTCAACCTCGTGGTCGCAGGCGGCTCTCCTAGCCTTCGATCTTCCGATCCGGGTCTCGCGACATTTGTGGCAGCTTTTACTTTTCCCATTGGTTTTATTTTGACGATTTTCACCAATGTCGAGTTGGTGACCAGCAACATGGCTGTTATGATGTATACAACCCTGCAACGCAAGACGTCATGGTACGACCTTGGAAGAAACTGGGCAGTTTCTTACATCTTCAACCTCGCAGGGTGTCTGTTTTTCGCGGGAGTCCTTTCCTGGTGGAGTAATGCGCTAGAGTCCGATGCGCAATCCACGTACGCTGTTACTCAGGCAGAGGGCAGAGTGAACATCAACTGGGGCTATAATTTTACTAGAGGCATCGGTTGTAATTGGCTTGTTGGTCTGGCAGTGTTCATGTCTTCAAGCTGCAGGGATGGATTTTCAAAGATCGTCGGCATTTGGATACCGATATGGGCGTTGTGAGTCTAATCCTTTCCTCGACGTCACAACATGACTTTGAGTTGACGAATACTGTGTAGTGTTTGTCTCGGCTATCAGCACTCGATCGCAAACTTCTTCCTTGTTCCCATTGGAATGTTTTACGGGACGAACTTTGGCGTTGGGAAATTCATCTATCAATCAGTCATCCCTGTCACTTTGGGTAACATCGTTGGAGGCGCGTTGATGGTTGGAGTTGTCCTTTGGTTTCTGTATGGAATCGATGGTAGCCCGTCTACCCAAGTCTCCAGGAACAGAGAAATGAAGGAAAGTCAGATCGAGCATGAAGGGAGCCCGAATGGACATATATCGCAAAACAGATATGGATTCGTGGATCGCAACAACCCCAGCGCTGACCATTACGGAGAAACAAGAAGGGGAAGTGGACCAGACTTGGTGTAACGAAGTACATGAAAGCATATGGAAGGAATTCAGAAATCACTTAGATTGCAGCTATCGGGAAATATATACCGGAATATCGGCCGAGCTCCGTCAATGAGTATATTTCCCGGCGCAAATGACTGGCCCGCTTTCGGCCTCATGTCGGAAAAAAACGAAGATACGACTTCAGCGCACTGTTACTGGCGCAATGATGGAAACTTTGTATATCTGTGTTTGCGCATTTGTCAACGGAAGAATGGATTTGTAATCCTTTGCTTCTTATTAGCGACTGTCTGTCGCTTTCCGCCACTGCACTCACTAGCATGGCAGTCTCTTGGATGATGAAAGACGCCCTTTCTGAGTGAAGTTGGTATTTCGATCCATCATTCTAAAGCTAGCCTTTAATTACAGATTACAATCATGGAGAAGCTGTTTGAAAAGAAAACACTCGCCATCATCACCGGAGGAGCCTCTGGCATCGGTCTGGCACTTGCGCAAAAATGTGTCAAAGCAGGCATGTTCGTCATCGCTTGCGACAAGGACCAGCACGCCATCAAGTATGTCATGGAAACATACGGTCAATCCATCAAAGCAGTTCACATGGACGTCAGTCAGTCTGATGACTGGGTAGCGTTGAAAAGGATCGTTGATGACGAATATTCGGGCACGTAATGATATCCTCTGTTGGTTGCCTATGGCGACATTACTGACCAGCCTCCAGGCCGTGTTGCTCTTTTGGTCTTGAACGCAGGGATCAAGCCGGAGTCTTCTTTTGACTCTGTGGCTTCCTTTCATACCACCTTCGACACCAATGTGTTTGGAGTGGTCTGTGGCGTTGGCGCACTCCTTCCATCCGTCAAAGCGAGCGCCGAAGTTGGCAATCGATCTGCTATCGTCATCACCGGTTCAAAGCAGGGCATTACAAATCCGCCCGACTATCCTGCGTACAACGCGTCCAAAGCAGCGATAAATTCCATTGCGGAGCAGCTCAGTTTCGACTTGCGAAATACCGAAAGGGTATCAGTGCATCTTCTCGTTCCTGGATGGACTCACACCGGCATGGGTGGGAGGACCCCGCAGACGAGTCTTTCCAAGCCTGATGGTGCATGGTGGCCGGAACAGGTGGTGGAGTACTTGGAGAAGAAGATGCAAGAAGACCAGTTCTGGGTTCTTTGTCCGGATAATGAAGTGACGGAGTCTCTAGACCGAGCAAGAATGCTGTGGAGCGCAGGCGATGCTGTAGAAGGGCGCCCGCCACTGAGCAGATGGAGAGAAGATTGGAAAGGTCCAGCTAGTCGCTTTGTTGAAGCATACGAGGATACTGAGCATTGAGGCCCGACTTTGTAATTGCAATGGAAGGAGCTCGAAAATTGCGACCTGATCTTTGTATCAATGCACTCAAAGCATCAATGACAGACGCGTTCACACTGTAATACTTTCTGGGACAATCAACTCATTCATGAACGTGCCAGCATACTCTGACGCCAAGCCTGTGGCAAGTGAAATAATACAAAATTGTGTTATTGCATGTAGAGGATTGAAGATATCTCGTCGTTTCTTTCCAGTCGACTCATTTAACCTAGCCATCTCTCTCAAGATGCCGCAGATCGTACTTAGTGTCCGGCCGAAGGTATCGGAATGGGCGGTTCCCCGGCCAAGAAAACTCGGATTCTTGACTGTCCCCATCGACATTCGATACCAGATTTACAAGCTGGTCCTCATCGATCCAGTCCTGCTATGGGACAAGAGACACAAGTTGAATTGCAGATTCAAGACTTTCAACCCTCAAAAGTCGGAGCCTCCACCGTTTCTCATGACACAGATTGACATCGACGAAGACGGCGTCCTAACTATCCCAGACTGTGATTGCGGCAAAAGAGAGGGAACGAACCTGTTGTTGGCCAATCGCCAGATACATGAAGAGTCAGCCCCAATCTTCTGGTCTCGCAACACCTTTTGCTGCCTGGGTGGATGGGATGTCGTTGGCGCAACTGATTATGAGCTGCGCACCGCAACACTCACCTGGATCAAGCACATCAGCATCATGAACCCGGAACCCCAGGGAGCGTCAGACCATATCAGATACTTCGACGCGTCAGGCTGGAAGGTCGATCGAGAATGGAGCCAATCCCTATTCTGGCCCTCTGTCTCAAAATTGCCGGCGCTTTCATCGTTGCAGGTACCCCCACATCTCATCTTCACCGATCGCGAGTTGTACGAGGCGGCTTGGTTGCAGAATCCAGAGCTCAAGATTGAAATGGTCGGCTTGATACCATTCTGTCGAGACCCAGACGTGGACTTCATGGGCTTCGGAGGCGTGTCGCGAAAGAACTTCCGTTTGCACTGGTCAACAATCTACGCCCAAGCCGTTCAGCCTCTTGACATCAAAGAATTGGAAGGATCGGAACGCTCTTCATACCCCAATGCGGCAACCTTTCTGGATGTATTGTTCGAAATTAACACGGCTGTGAAGACCGACTTCTTTGGGGTGGACCCGAATTATCTTGTGATTTGGGAGGACTTTTGGAAAATCCCGGACGGCTTTGACGAGTTCAACGACCACCACTCGGTTCATGTCGCCGTTCCAGACTCATTAGTGGACAAGGAGGTTCTTGTCAAGTTTTATGGCTTGCCGTCTTCCAAACAAACGGAGGCACGACGAGTCCAAGATAAGGCTGCTCGTGACGCTGAGCAGAGGGCCCTCAACGGCTTGACCGTGAAGCAAAATGAGGTGCACGAGGCTAGTCGTGATAACAAACGGTATTGGCGAAACTGTTTGGAGAATTACCGGGTTGGGCGCTGGTACAGGTACTATTACATTGAGAACCCGTGGATCGGGGAGGGAATGTGGGATTCCACGGGCAACCCCTCGCCTCAACCACTGCCCGCGAGAATCGAGGCTGTCAAGAAGAAGGCTAGAGAGAAAGCCAAGCGTAAATCAGAGAAGTCGAACGCAGAGGCGAGAAAGATTGAGCGGAAGAGGGTCCGCGGGAAGGGATGTTGAGCGGGAATTGCATCCGGATGGGTTTAGCAGGAAAAGGGACTTGCGTACTACTTGGGTCTATCTAAGTCTGTTTCCCGAGCACATCAAGAGATAGGCGATTCGTCATTGGATCTTTCAAAAGCTTAGCAAGCCTTGTCGTTGAAGTTGTAATATCCAGGACCAAGGTCCGCCGAATCAGTGACAGACTTATCGTATTTCCTGCAGGTTCCAGTCTGCGTACCACTGCCAGGGTCGGTTACGATGTAGAAGCCAGTGCTGAGGCACCTATTATCTGTCTTGCATGAGGCGATGCAGTCAGCCTGGTTGGTGTTGAAGTTTGCGTCATAGTTGAAAGCGTTTGGACCTGGGAGACCTCTCGCGTTGCAGATTTTGGGTTTAACGAGAATGGGAGTGACCGCGGTGGTGACGGTTTGCGTGACTGCATCTCCGGCGACCGTTTTGGTAACCTGTGTTTGGCTGGTGACCTGAACCGTCTGAGTAACAGTGACAATGACGGTCTTCCCGGGGGCGGTCTGTGTAGCTTGAGGTCCCGATACGGTCACCTTGGCAGTGGCGGTGATGGTCTTAGTGGTAGGTTGGGCGATGCAGCTGCAGGCACTTGAGATACGACTCTCGGCGAAAACACGCAGAGCAGGCGGGCATGCAGGACGGTTATTACGCTTCTTCTTTTGGTAGATAGTCTTGGTTCCGGCAGTGACCGTGACCGTCACAGTGGCAGTAGAACCTTCTCCCGTAATTGTGTTGGTCATCGTTTGTTGGTTGACGTTGGTCAAGGTGACAGTTTGTGCCTGGGTCTGATCTGGCACCGTGACTGTGGCAGTTCGACCCGGACCTGATTGTGTGGCCGTCTGGTAAAGTGTCAACATCAGCATTTACCAGAGAAAAAAACGCATGTGTAACTACTTACCGTTGTTACTGTGGTGGTCTTCATACCTCCGAGGTGGCCCAGACAGAACTGGGATGCCTCGGCTCTCAGGGGCCCTCTCAAGATTGCATAGACTGCGTCCACTACATTGCATTGGCTAGCCGGGGCTGCAGTCACAGCAGACCCCCAGGCAAGAATAGCGGCAAAACTTAGGCGAGAAATATGCATAACGATATGCTGGGTGGTGAGAGGGGATGATTGATGATGAACTGGTTTGCGATGAAACAATCTCATGACCTGCAAGGTCCATCAAAGGGACAGCAGACTTTATGTCTGATGCTTCATAGACTTCAGCAATAGGGAACAAAGCAAGCAGCTGAACAATGGACGCCAGGGTCCATTTTTCGCGCTGGCAACGCCACAAGCATGTCAACTAGACTTCCCCGCCACGCCGCTCCTGGCGATGGCTTTAATACTGCGTCGTGACTGGTGGCCATCCAGCCGTCAAACTAGTGGATTTTGACGTTAGCAGATCTCAATTATCTCAGCCGCAGCTCCTACCATGAATGGAACATCTTTTACCAAAACGGGCGAACTCGTGGCTGCCCACTAGTGGAGATATTCAGTCATCGCCTCCCAAATGTCACTAAGCTTATGCCTAGTACACTTTGCTAGAGTCAACAGAGGAACGCTCGCCTCTCACAGCTAAAGACTAAGAGGTCTGGAGCACAACTCCACCACAGCCTTGTCACTGGATTCTCGGTGTTACCCTTCATTGGTCCCGGTGATCGTCAAAGTTGAGAAGCAAGACTTACATTCTGGCTCGAAGAACCTATGACTTTAGCCAGATTGAGCCAAGAAACGCTGAAATCAGTGCACTGGGAACACAGCCACAGATTCTATTGTCTGCCTTTGGGACGCTTGCTAGAGTCTAACCTTCTACCTACGTCGTGAGGTTGAATATGATGTGTTGGTGAAGCCAGGTGGAAGCAACACTCACACAATACTGCCTCGGGGAACGTCTGTGGTGTCATTTGCAACCTAGCATACAAACCTATGTGTGGCCAAATTTCAAATTTCACGCAGACTCTGGAATTGCATGAGCCTTCAGAGGCTCTCAAATACGTGCGAGTTTTGTCTCGCCTTATTAAAGCACTTGATAGAGCGACGTTAGTCGATGAATGCTGTCTTTTAATAATCCGTAAGTACATGCTGTCAATTTATCTCGTATTTCTCGCAAGCGTGAGGTTCTGTACACATTATGTCGTGGAAGTTCCATTCAATCAATCATTTCAAGCATAGGTCATGACATGAGTTCCTCCGTTGATTGACCAGATATCACCCGTGACATATGCCGCATCTGAGGATATCATAAATGCCAGCAGAGCTGCCACCTCCTCCAGCTTCCCCAGCCTTTGCAGCGGCACCTTCTTTAAGCCCTCTTGCATGGCAGGGCTTGCGTTAATGGACTTCTGGAGAGTCTCAGTCAAGATAGGCCCCAGAGCAACAGTGTTGCACCTGACATTGTCCTTGCCATATGTCGTGGCTGTATGACGTGTCAAGGCATGCACGGCCGCTTTCGAAGCAGCGTAGGCCACTCGGAGTGGCTCTGGAGTACCCAAGTAGTGCCCACCCATCTGCGGTTTGTCAGTCATCAACATGAGTTAGAATGCCACAAAATTGGACTTACACTGGAAATGTTGATGATGGTACCGCCACTGGCTTGCTTCAGGTGGGGAAGAGCATATTTCGTCGTCAAGGCGTAACCTGTCGTGTTGACTTGGAATGTCCGATGCCAGATTTCAGCATCCATGTCGTGCACTGCTCGGTCATTGCCCAAAGTCTTGGGGCTCAGATCGGCCCCGATGTTCAGCAGGCTGTCAAGCCCTCCAAGCCACTCAGTGCCCTTCTCGATGAGATTCTTGATGGACTGCTCATCCGCAAGATCGAACTCGATGACGGTCGCACTGCCTCCAGCATTGTTGATCTCGACACCAACACCCTTTGCTGCGGCAATGTTAATGTCGGCTACGACAACCTTGGCCCCACGGGCGGCGAGCAGTTTCGCGGTGCCGGCACCAACACCAGTGGCCGCTCCAGCGACAATGACACGCAGTCCAGTGATGGTCGCCATGATATTTGAAATGAGCAATGAATCTGTGTAGATGATGGGTGGGCTTGGTATCAATGAATGCAGCAATCGCTTAGCTTGTTTCTACATTGCATTTTTCTTTTCTCCATCTACGACTCTTATATCAAATAACACCGGAGCAGACCAGCAGGCTCTCGGAATCGTATGTGACTGCGCAAGACCCCGAAACCGAGACCGAGAGCGGAGCGTTGCAACGGTCGGCCAGATCAACCGTGGCAGTGATACGTCTGGGCAACTGGCCAAGCGCTACAGGGGCCTTCAATTGGCCCAACAGCGGCAGATTAGCGACATTCAGTGTAATCCCCAATGAA